GTATTGTTTGATTACTGCGGAGGAAGATTTTACCATGTGACTTACTATCGACGTCAGCCGATCAGCTCGCCGTAACAATATGTGTGGGAAAAGAATTTATAGACAATACAATATGCTGATATTGGCGTTACGATTCGTCATGTGGAGGTAGGTTTAACTTTGTTAACACTATATTTGCAATATTTTTGGTAGGTTTGAGCGTAATTTAAATTGTCTTTCTTCTTGCTTTACCCAGTTTTGACAATTCTTCCTCTATGTTAGATTCTCGATCACTTTCTATAGTGGAAAGAGAATCAGTGTCGCGTTCGTTTGGTAAGTTTAGTTTTCCAAATAGATGAGGTTGGATTATAGTAATAGATCGATTTGGTTGTGGAGGAGGGGTTTTTTTGAATAAGACTTCGTATATGAGTAAATTTTCTTGAGATAAGTAGTCCAAGTTGAGATGATGCAAGGTGGTTGTTGATGTTACTTGTAAAGTGGAGTGTTAAGAGTCAGAAAGTCAAGACTATAAAGTTTGATACAAAGTTTGTTGTTGTAAATATCTACATTAATTCGCCTATAATTGACACCTTTTGTTTTGCCGTTCTTTTTTGTAAGTGTTTTCTTTCAACATTGTGATAGATTTTGATGTCAAATCCTGCAAATTGGATGGTCCGGAAACATATTGATTGTAAAAATCGTAATATCATTGCGCATTTGAACATGTGCTCGCAGCCAACTTTAGACGCGTGGAATACTTGTGACTTTTTTAGAAACATGGCACTGAAAGGGTCTGACCAGTGGTGGGGAGGCGTATGAAAGTAAGTACTTATGACGTTATACTGTAGTTATTTGTTTTACAGTAATAAATGAGTTAGGGCAAGTTGACACAAAAATTGACGTAGAAAAGGAAATATGAAGCTAAATTTTATTATAATTCTATTGTTTAGCATAATGTTTATGAGTAGTTTTAGTAAGGGTGAAAATTTTGTTCTTGTCTTAGTTAATGTTTAGTGTAATGTAAGACGTCAGCTTGAAGTGTTAGCTAACTATGGTAGGAGATGAGTGGTTTGTCAAAGCCTCATATTTTTTAGATGTTCAAATTACATCTTGTTTATCTAGTACTAGATAGGGTATTTCTACAATGTTCCAAGATTAAGATATAAGATGGTGTCTATCACAATTATGGTAAGCACATCAGTTAACATCGAATATTGAGGTCATGTACATGTGCCATAAGACTGTACAAATAACTTAACATATAACTTTATTTTTACTTAAAAGACTAGTTTCCGTTTTTTCACTGCACTATCAACTGTACAGATCAGATACTGCATTATCTGTATCACGTGATTAAATAGCCTTACATGTATATAAATACAAGCTGGTGCACAGCTTAATGTTGTGTAAGCTTGACTGGCAGCAAAGAATTGTTTGTCCAAATATTAATATAGGGATATGTGTGGCAATGTTAGCCCTTGGGATTGAAGTACTGTAAGAGTGAAACAATTTTGCAAGGGAAATTGTCTGCAAGAAGTGTTTGTGCCATTGATTGAATTAGTATTAGAAAGTTTTCTGGGCTATTAGTATTACAGCATGTATTAGTGATTGACTACTGAGAAAAGGAAACATGAACTTGTTCGATTGTTGAATGACTTTTTATTTTGTAACAATACTGATAGTACCATTACATATTAATATTAATCATATCATTACTAGTACATTATTTGTTGAAATTGAACATTTATTGGAAGATTAAGATTGGGCTTTTAAAAATTTACTGTAAATGTTCAATGCTCCAGACTTCTCCATTAACTTTGTCAATAGTAATAATAGTAATACTTATTAAAAATTCATCTTCACATGTAATATGTTGCTTTTATTCAACAATTAGCTATTATTTAGAGCCATCCATGACACATAATAATAACAGACATATTAATATAATATACATAGGAAAAATACTGAGTAATAAGTGAATTTTTTGTTACTTTGTAATGAAAGCTTTATTATATTAATATCTCACTATCACAATCAATGTCATAGTAACCAATAGAAACTACTCCTATTGAATTTTTAAATAATAATATAAAGGTTCAGAATAAATCTAATTGACTGTATAATAATCAACATTGCAAAATTAGAGAAAAACACAATCCTTGAGACTTTGCAAGTACTCAAATTTTGTATTTACAATCTGGTTAAAATCAAGATACAGAGAAGTCAGAGAAAAATTTAATTCTGAAACTTTTGCCAACACCATTGCTCCAGTAGCACTAATCTGGTTATCAACAAGTTTCAAAGAAATCAGAGAGGAATTTGATGCTAGAGCCTTTGCCAATGCTGATTAGAAGAAAGGTCTAGAGAAGTCAGAGATGAATTTGATTTTAAAGCCTTTGCCATTGCAGCAGCTCCTGTATTTCCAATCATATTCCAGGAAAGCATAAGAGCTGCCAAAAAAGAATTTGATTCTAGTGCTCTTGCCAATGCTGTTGTGCCTATGTCTCCTATCTGATTGGAAGTAAGATTCAGAAGAGTTAGAGAGACATTTGATCCAATAGCCATAGCTAATGCTGTTGCTCCTGGATTTCCAATACAGTTTGAAGAAAGAATCAAAGAAGTCAAAGAGGAATTTGATTCAAGAGCCTTTGCCAGTGCTATTGCTCCTGTATCTCCAATCATATTTTCAGTAACTGCCAAAGAAGTCAAGGAGGTATTTGATTCTAAAGCCTTGGCCAATGTTGCTGCTCCTGCATCTCCAATCTCATTTTTTGAAAGTTCCAAACTAGTCAGAGAGAAATTCGATTCCAGAACATTTGTCCAATATAGTTGATAGAAAGGCCCAAAAAAGCCAGTGAAGTATTTGATTGCAAGGCCTTTGCTAATGCAATAGTCCCTGCATCTCCAATCATATTAGAGGCAAGATCCAAAAAAGATGGAAAAAATTTTGATTCCAGAGCTTTTGCCAATGCTACTGCTCCTGCATCTTTAATTTCATTATGTGAGAGTTTCAAAGAAGTCAGAAAAGAATTTGACTCTAAAACCTTTGCTAATTCTGTTGCTCCTACATAGCCAATCTGATTAATAGAAAGCCCCAAAGAAGTCAGGGAAGAATTGGATTCTAAAACTTTTGCCAATGCTATTGCCCCTGTATCTCCAATTTGATTAGAAGCCAGATTTAATGATTTCAGAGAGGAATTTAATTCTAGAACCTTTGCAAATTTTGTAATTCCTGCATCTCCAATCTTGTTACAAGAAAGGTCCAGAAAAATCAAAGAGGAATTCAATACTAAAGCCTTTGCAACTGTCATTGCATCTGCATCTCCAATTATATTTCTTGAAAGTTCTAAAGATGTTAGAGAAGAATTCAGTTTTAGAACATTTCCAAATGCTGCTGCTCCTATATCACCAATTTGATTAGAATTGAGTTTTAATGAAGTTAATGAGGAGTTTGATTCTAGAACCCTTGCCAGTGCTGTGGCTCCTGTAGCTCCAATTAAATTCCCAGAAAGCTGCAAGGATGCCAGGGAAGAATTTGGTTGTAGAGCCTTTGCTAAAGCTGTTGCTCCTGCATCTCCAATTTGATTTTGAGAAATTGTCAAAGAAGTTAGAGAAGAATTTGATTCTAGAGCATTTGCTAACATTATTGCTTCAGTATCTCCAACTTAATTATCAGAAAGTATTAGTGAAGTGACAGTAGAATCTAACTTTATAGCTCCCTGTACTCCTCAGTCTAGCAGAGAGATCCAATGTTCCATCTGGTAAATATTGATTTTCATTGACAAACAATGATTTTAACTGTTTGTATATATTTATACGTAATGGCCTTTCTTCAGAATTTTCACTCCAACATGCTGAATATAGCTGAATGTACATTTCTGGTGTTCCTGAAAATGGGGAATCTCAATAACCTCGTTTCCTATATTCTGCCACACTGAAGTGACATTCATTACAAGGAATCTGCCCACTAGAAATTTCCCAAAACAAAACTCCAAGACTGAAGATATCAGATTTCTTTCCATGTTTATATGGTTGAACTCTGAATGATATGGGATCTCTGTATGCTGCAGCACCTTCTCCTATTGATGAGGACATAATCTGCCCAGATAGACCAAAATCTGTAATTTTTGCAATGCCAGATTTGATAACAACATTGAAAGATGACTACACAACAAGATTATAAAAACAGTAAGCTTATAATTCATAAGCTGATGTCAAAAATGAAATAACATAAACAAAATTCCACATTACCAAATCCTTATGAATTATATCAAGCTCATGCATGTATCTCAAACCATTGGTAATTTGCAAGCCAAGCCTGTATTTGTCTTTCCATGTTGATCTATGAAAATTTTGCATCAAGTGTCTACGCAAAGGTCCACCATCAGCAAACTCGAAAATCATATGATAATCTCCTACTTCATCCTTGTCTTAAATATATAGTAATACAGCACATATCAATATATTATTATATAAATAACGAATTACAATGACATAAATATACTTACAGACACCTAAAAATCGGATAATGTTCGGGATAACCGCTCAGTTTCTTGTGTTTTTCAGCTAATTAGACGTAAAATTATTAGTTATGATATTGAACGATAATATAAACAAAACAAACTTTAGATACTAAGCAAAAAGCTAGCGGAAACCTCTTTAGCAAACTTCTTGTACAATCTCTCTTCACAATCGTACGCGTGCGGAACCAAAGTTTTCATTGCGACGGTCATTCCAGTTTGTTTTATTGCCCCTTTATATGCTACTCCATATGCACCACTAGCGATAGGTGTACCTCCCAAATTAAGATCGCTCTCTGAATAACAGCGGATAGAGCCCTCTTTGACACTTTCCTCGATCCATTTTTTATTATAAACAGTACCAGGCTTTCCTTGCTGTTTCATCTGGAAAGATTGGTCTGGTAGACAGACCTGTAATGTCATAATAGTATGCAAAAAGCGTGAGCTTGGTACATACAATGGTTCATAAGCAAAAAAGAACATACGAACCTGTGATTGGACATACTCCGATGGCTCGACTACGATCGGAAAAACTCCAAGCATGTCTTCAACTGAGTTTTGTCGGTCCAATTGCATCGGCGTAAATAGTTCGCTTGGTGCTTGTACATCACGTTGTCTCGAATGTAGGTGTTGCGGCAACCACTGTTGTTTATGATGTTGCTGCTGATGCGTAAACAGAGTGTTTTGTTGTTCGTTTGTTGATTGCGGAATAGAATACGTTGGCAGACCACCGGTATTAGCGGGTAGCTGTGAAACGCCGAGCGATGGTTGGTATTGTTGACGTAGTCGTCCTGTTTGCAATTCATTTTGATATAATAAATTTTGATTTAAGTCAGCTATATATTCCTGTTGCATTTGTTGTTGATGAGTTATCGATGCAGCATACTGCTGTTGTTGGACCGATTCTCTCTGCTGTTGATAGTTCCATGCTTGGTTCTGCCAGGCTTGAAAGGTTGTCGCGACATTGTGCGTTGACTATACAGAAGGGTTAAGGCATGACGTATTCCTTTGTGCTGCGCGGTACGATCAAAATCAAGCGCAAGTGACACAAACGTTGCGAGTACTGCGGAAGCAGGAGAAATGACATTTGGCACCAAAAATTCCGACAACTTAGTGAAGCTTTAATAAGTATATAAACGAGTCACAAGTGGTAGCAAAAACGGCGTCTTTCAGATCATATTCAGTCAAATTACATTCGTTTTTCGAACAATCCTTGCGTTAGAACAGTTGTTTATATTTAACAAGAAATCATCCAGCCTTAAGTGTTCATCTTCGCTACCTAAGGAGGAGGTTGTCAATATTAATGCCAATCGTCAAATTCAGGGGGTCGATATGCAGGGTCGAATGCGTAAATAAAGTCGGTTGGAATTTATTCATTTTTTTTAGAACGAGAGTTAAAAATCTTTTAATTTTCAAGTCATCACAGACATTTAATACTGAAGGCATTAAATCGCTCGATGTATTAAACATTAAGCAATCAGTGTACATGCATTAAACACCATATACTAAAGGCATTAGACGTTCTAGATGATCAATCTCAAATATCGACGCCAATAGCATTAGACGTCGACAGCATTGCATTGTTGATGACTAAATGTCTATCGCTGAAGCTTTTTCAAGCCAGTAAAACTACTACTACCGCAGCTATTAATTTGATCATCACATTTACTACTGTACTCTATCTCAGTTCACCTGATCGAATCGTTCACATGCAAGCTCTTATATCGAAAAACGCTAGCGTTTACATAATGCTTTGTGTATAATAGTTGTGCATACTATAAAGAGCTTTCGAGAAATTGTGTATGCAAAAACTGCAGATGACATGTACAAAATCGACCAATCAAATGAGAATATACCGCATCAGATCTCCGATTTTGAGATCTGACGATCATAATAAACGGTAGTTACTTTATTCTTTAAACTTTGCAGGATATGAATACCGTAGTTGATTTGTCCTCAGGTCTTTTATCAGATTATGAGAAGCTTTACGAAAGCAGCAAATATGCAGACGTTTCAATTTATGTCGGAAAAGAACCAAATAGCAAAATATTTCTCGTTCATTCCCTCGTATTGTGCACACGAAGTTCATTTTTTGAGAATAGCTTGACTGGAAATGCAGAGACGTCTAGAGAAATTCAAAAGGCTGCTATGACATTTGAAGATGTGTCACCTGATGTTTTCGAGATTTTGTTGAGGTAAATTTATACGTTAAAACATAAATAACGTATTAGTACCATATTTACATCGATCTTGATTCTCACCTGTAATTTGAATACTGTATAAAATACGTAGATTTATCTATACTGGACAAATTTCTTATGATTTATGCAAGCATGTGGATTGGATTAACCTTCTGGATGGGGCTAGCGAATTTGAAATGCTTGATCTCCTCAGTGCAATTGAAGCCTATTTGATTGAGACACAAAAGGAGTGGATTCAACAGAATATTGTTGCAGTCCATAAATATGCCGTCTCTACTGCTACCTTGAAAGGGCTTCAAGGTTATTGCAATCGAATCATGGTTTCATGTCCAGATACTGTATTTAAATCAAATGATTTTGCAACCCTATCAAAGGAGGCTTTAATCAATCTTCTCAAGAGTGATGACCTCAGCATGGAAGAGGATGATATTTGGATGTCCGTTGTGCAATGGGCTTGTAAGCAAGTGTCTGAACAAGAGCTTGGAAATGATCTGGATAATTGGTCATCTCAGGACATAAATGCTGTAAAGGATATTATAGCTGATTGTATACCTCACATAAGATTTTTCAATATGTCTCTTGAACAGGCTCTTCTATTTGATGATTTATTACCAAGAAAATTGCGTCGTGATATACTTAATTGTCAAGCAAAGAAGGATTATATCCCAAACACTATAATTCTATTACCAAGGACAAAACAAAAATGTAATATTGCTAGCAGGCAACAAGAGCAATATAAACTTGGTGGTTGCTATGAAGATGGAATTGGGATAGAAAAAGATATTGAAAAGACAGTTGAATTGTACCAAAGAGCAGTCAAACAAGGAAATGCTACAGCACAGTATAATCTTGGTTATTGCTATCAATATGGCATTGGAGTAGAGAAAGATGCTGGAAAGGCAATTGAGTTGTACCAGCAAGCAGCTGAAAAAGAGCATGTTGATGCACAATACATACTTGGTTATTGCTACAAGAATGAAATCGGAGTAAAAAAAGACATTGAAAAGGCAGTTGAATTATATAAAAAAGCTGCTGAACAAGGACATGCTATTGCACAGGATTATCTTGGTGATTGCTATTATTTTGGAAATGGAGTGGAGGAAGACACCAAGAAGGCAGTTGAATTGTATCAAAAAGCTGCTGAGCAAGGAAATGCTAATGCCCAGTATAATCTTGGCTATTGTTATGAAAATGGAATTGGAGTCAAAAAAGATGTTGGAAAAGCAGTTGAGCTATATCAAAAAGCAGTTGAACAGGGAAATGCTGCTGCACAGTATAATCTTGGTGATTGCTACTATTATGGAACTGGAGTAGCAAAAGATGATAAGAAGGCAGTTGAACTGTATCAAAAAGCTGCTGAACAGGGAAATGCTAATGCACAGTATAGTCTTGGGTATTGTTATGAAAATGGAACTGTGGTTGAACAGGATATTGAAAAGGCAGTTGAATTATATCGAAAAGCTGCTAAACAAGGGCATAAAAGTGCACAACAGAACTTGGTTAACACTACTCTTTTGTCATAACTTATTCAGATCATAATCATGTGGCATAGCATTTGTGACTTTTATTTTTATAGGTCTTTATTATTATTTGGTTAGCTTATGAAGAAAAGTATTTGAATCAATTGCAGCAATATTGCAGCCACTCTTTCAAGCATTACTGAATATAGGTTAAGTGCATACATAACATTACTTGTATTTTCGCCAGACAATATTAAATATCAATAAATATATGATATACAACTGTTATTGTTATTACCACTTTCATCAGTAATGATTATCTTCAATATTTATCAAACCTCACTGATATATAATAAGTATAAAATAGACAAAAAAGAAGACTATTATCCTAAATAATTTATTCATATGCCATTGCTAATAGCTATTAAAAAAATTAACAAAACACTATTCCGCAAGTTGAATATAATCAGCATTATTTGTATTGTCGTCTTGCCACTTTTCATGATTATTATAATCAGTCATTAACATTAATCATATCACAGTTGGTTGTGCTTGTAAACAGCTTATTTTACTGTTTATTGCGGAATTATTAAATTGATCAAAATCCGAGCATTTTGGATCAGTGAGAAGTTGGCGAAATGCATGTATTTATGACTCATACAGAAGTGATGAGTTTGAATAGTGATATGAAATTATTATGTAGAAAACCTTTCCTCCAGGCGGAAAAAGTAAGTTGGTTACTGCTGAATGGTAATAGTAAACTGGAAGCGGAACTACTTCCCTGGGGTGGCTTTATCTCTTGTAGTAAAATATTTATATTTGTTATTTAATATTGAAATATTGAAATTATTATCGATCGTATTATTATTATCATTGTCTTTGCTCTTTATTTTCGATACTGATATTTTGATGTACGAAAACTCTGGTAACCAAGCAAGTTCCTAGTATTCTTTTGTCGATGCTTTGGCGTAATCTCTCGACGACTAATAAGCAGGGCATGAGAGGTTCTTATTATACTCTGAATTGACACCTTGATGTGAGCTCTTCACCGACTAATAAGCAAGTTGCGGAGCAATCACTTCCGCCAAATTCGGTCGCAACTCTTCGCATACGAATAATAAGTAAAGCATGGGAAGTGTGAAGTTTAGAAGACGGCGATTATATGACCTTATGTTTAGTATAAAAAAGGCGTTCGTAGTAAATACATATGCTTGTTTGAAGGTTGATGATCCAATAAAGTTACTGTGAGTCTATTATCGTTGTAAAACTATTGTGAATTTATCGTTATTTTGTTTAAGTTAAAATATTATTTCATTAATGAGGGGATACGAAGCGAAATGCGGATACTCTTGATAAAAATATTAATGGTTTATTAATTTCGTTAATATATTTAATAATAGCATTGCATCGCCGAATAATATATCACCGAAGGTCAGGTATACAACACATGTGCCTGGAATGCTAACCGGACGAAGAAATGCGTTCTCACATAAAATATCAATATTCGTTATATAGTATATCGTAAATATTATTTGAAGGTTAGTTTCTGCCGCCACATTAATATTTTTTTCCGTTGTAATGTTTTTATAGGAGTAGCAATTAAATTGTAAACATTGTAATTCTTATTAATATTGTTTCACATCAATGGTATTTTTGCTTCAAAAACACAATTTTCTAATAAATTGTTTTACACTTACTGTCCACAAAGCTGAGGGATTGACATTACCAAATATGACTTCCCTTGCTGAACAGTTTTTTCCTCCAGACGAGCTTATGCATGCATCCTGCTTAGATGGTGTAACTATACACGACACGCTTTGAACAGAAAAACATTTAATGTGGATAGTGTCACAGACGCCTAATAATGATGACATATTCCCGTTGGCATTACAAAATATTTTCCAATCTTTGCCGATTGACAATAACTACGCGGCGTATTGTGCTGCTGCGGTACGATCATAATCAAGTGCAAGTGACACAAACAGGTATTTTATTTCTAGCGTTGCGTCTACTGCGGGAGTAGAAAAAACAGCGAATAATCACAAAAAGTTCTGACAATTTTGTGAAGCTTCAATAATTATATAAACGAGTAATAAGTGATAGCAAAAACGGCGTCTTTCAGATCATATTCAGTCAAATAATATTCGTTTTCGTACAATCTTGCATTAGAAGGGACAACGGAGCCCAAGTTATCTGAACGATATTGCTCAACTTTACCGTTGCGAAGGAGTTCAACAACGGAGCCTAAAGTTGTCTGAAAGATATTGCTCAACTTTACCGTTGCGAATGAGTTCAACAAAAACATTATAAATATGACCGCTCTTGAGACCAAAGGGAACGTAGACGGTTTTTTCGCCCGGTGTAATAGCAACTGGAAGATTTCCTGCTGGAGGCGCAAATAGAAAGTTGGTTACACCAGCCTCACTCAAATAAAATTTGGTAAAAGTAAGGCCTCTGTATAACTTAAGTGCTGTAAAATAAATATAGATTAGATTCTCAGAAATAAAATAAATTATTGTACGGGTAAAATGCTTACGGCCTTTCCATCGAATCTTAAGTTTGTGGCCACACTAAATCATAAAGAATATGTAGTTATTAAGTAATCGAAATGACTCGTTTAATAAAATTTTAATTTAAACTTTTCCTACTTGAATACTTGTATCCGTGACAGGATGGGTAATAATTAACCCGAATCCAGGTTTACCAACAGTAAAAGTCGCAGAAAGAGCCTTTACTTGACCATTAATTCCATGAGCAACGATTTCAAAGTAGGTAGAAGGAGAGACGGCAAGATTTTGGGACGGGTGAAACTTATACGTAATGCACTTTGTTCCTATTAATATTGGGGGGGGGGGGGAGAACAATCAATTAATTATTATTTGTAATGAATACTCTATGATAGCAGTAATATCACCCACCTGGTTGTACTGCAATATTTACTCCAATTGTCTGCGTAGGATGGTTTACAGCGATAAGAGATATAGTGTCGATTGTAGTAATCCCAGGTTCGGGGCAGAACTTAACAGGAATGTCCACACCGACCGGAAAAGCGGTTCCCTTTACTTTTTAGTAATGAAAATATTAACGCAAAAAGTTACCGGTTTAAAAAATGATGGGTTTAATATTACAATACATAATAATTACACATCTTTTCTTAATTCAGGTAGACAAGAAATAATTACCTGGCTTGCGAATTACAATAGAGGCACCAAAGTTAAAGAGAAACGAGAAGATCAAACATATAAAAGTAATGCGATTCATTTTAACGAATAATTGATGAGAGTCGCATTAAGAGATTTAAATATTCTTTTTTGCAAAACTTGTGTAATTACAGTGTCGTGATACATATCACTGCATAGGGGTAAAATTTTTGTACCTTATTAGGCCCATTTCTGTATAACTACCTTTTTTTAAAAATAGTTCTTTCGCACAAAGGTGACGAATGAGAGTTCCAAGCAAATGCATGACATCGCACAGGCTAGAAAAGGGAGTCAAACAGAGCCCGTGCAGCTTACAGCGGTTAATCAAATTATTTCAAGATTGGACAAGTTCTCGTGGTAATTGACAAATGTTTTTCGAATTACTATGAACGCTTTCACTGCTTTCTCAGCCTTTTAATATTAAAAGTTATACAATTTAAAGTTTGCTGACTGACAAGTAACATTTGCTGTCAAATCAGTACAACAGATGTGTACGGCTTGGCACACACAAATAATCTCGTACGCTGAAAATATAGAATAGCCCTAAATAACATTCTCAAAAACGGCCTGTGGGTCAACAGACGAGATGCCTCATCTCATCCCACCTCACCTCACCCATCATTACTTTGGTGTATGTTCTCCAATAGCCAAGCCGTTTTAATTTCAATGATATTTACCATATTCGTATTAACTGTACTTGAAATGTTTACAATATCGATCACATTACAACCATTAAGTAGACGATTAAATAAAGTGCCAAGAACAATGTTCCGCTGTGATTGCGTATATCCGTAAGCAAGTGCAAATGCCTTTGTACAATAAGCGCGCTTATAACAGAAAGCAATAATGCGTCTCTTAAGTGCAAAATTACAACGCTTGAAAGAAAGAGTTACTAAATCTCTTATCAGTTTACGCAATCGAACTGGACAATATTGATTTTCTGTAAATGTATGGAATAACGTAAGACATGAACAAATGAGAATGGAAGGCAAAGAAAAGGGCGTGGCGTAATCATAAAACATTCAGCGCATGTTCACGTCGTTTTCTCAAATACAAACTTTCACGGACAAGCAAGACAGCGACGAATGTTTACTGAAACCAAACCTATAATATTAACTATTTATGCCAGCGAACGACGGTCAAAAGAAGCGTGAATAAAAAAATATCGGCCTACAAAACCGCAAACTTGATATTTTTCGCAACAAAATTTGTTTTCAACGAAAAACTGCTTGTCTGAGCCGAAACTACCGTCATGCTCAAACTGAGGGTCTGTATAATGAGTGGGATATGAGATAAGTAGGAGTAATGTTTATAACAGCAAAGTGCTATGGTATGCAATTACGCGCTCATATAGCAAACGTTGTTTTAAAATCAGTAATAATAACAAATATTTGAAGTAAAACGTCTCAAGATCAATAAGCACTATGATATTAACAAAACTTTTTAAGAACGAATGCTATTTGTGTAAATATAATATTTGATCAAACTTTTTGCAAGTATTCTATAAATTTGCAGCAGCCAAAAACAACATATTAAAGTGAGTACGAAGTAAACAATCGGGTAGTGAGAAAAGTTTTTGAAAATTAACTTTATTATACTCTGTCCTCGACAAGACGGTAAACTGCCGTTTGATATGCCACGATGAGGGTTGACGCTACTAAGAAGGTAGGCGCAAAGTTATAGCATTGCATATAATGGATAGAGCCTTTTAGCTTAAGCATTGTATGTTTCAAGGTTTATCAATGATTGTTAATTGGCTCTTTCTAAATTTATTTACGCAAAACAATAAGTATTAAACGATTTAATCTATTTCTGACCATGTTCATGTTCTAATCAGATACCTATTATTTCGCATTTTTTAAAAATTTAAAAAGTAACGGTATTAATTATTAATTAATCTCTCATAAATGTGTCACTGTTACGTTAACACGCGATAAGGTTCAAAATACTACATTCAGTAAATAGTATTAGTGGTGAAAAACAATACATAGTAAAGAGACGATTGTATGATAAAATAAAAAATTTTTTTAACGTAAACTAAGTGTTAAAACAATAAAAGTTGCAATTGTATAGTGCAATTAAATAGACTTACCGATAGTTATTTCAACGAGCGATATATAACATTTGAAATTTGAAATTTGTTATTAGCCCATTTATTGAAGTAATACTGTTGTGCCTCAGTTGGAAACCTGTCTCAGTTCTGGACTGAGATAACTGAGTTCTGGACTAAGTGTCTGGGTTCTTGGACTGAGACAACTGAGTTCTCGACTGGGTTCTGAACTGAGACAGGTCCGAACTCAGACACAACAATATCTTGGCTTTTTTTCATGTTTAGCACGTTTCGGTGTACTTTTCTATTTAAAACCAATTGGACGTTTATGTAATTATAATGAGTGTGCTGGGATTTAGTTAAGCTACCCAATTCTAATAGATTGCCTTGATTTAGCACTAGTCACATTAACGCTTCTTTATTAAGCTCGAATAATAATACAATAAAAATCAGTCTAAAAATATTTTATAATATATGTACTCTACTCTACTGCCGGTTGCCTTGTGAAATACTGTGAAAGCATTTGTTCTAGGGAAAAATAAATTTATTTTATAAATAACCTTGGTATTGGCCAATTGACTTTGCGCAGTTGGCAATTTCCAATTGGAGTACATTTCCGACATAGCACGAGTCTAACGTCTGCAATTTACAGCTTTAGACATTTATGGCTGATTACAATTGACTAATAGTATTAACTTTATAAGTTAATTTGCTTAGAAAAGCCTTAAAAGATTGATTTACAAGCTTCCTAAAGTAAAAAGTAGAATCGCTTATATCGTTTATACGCATTAACTTGCATGTGTATATAGTATTTGACACGAGAGCTAATTTTGTATAATATATAAGAATTAGTATATGGACGATATTAACAAAAGCATCTATTCTAATTTTTTCGTTGCTTGTTACGTCAAGTTTTCCATAACGTTAAAATGAAAAATCTCTGACACGTGAAAATTATGTTGATCAATTTATTAGCCATAATATTTATCCGTCGCAAAAGAACATATGTCAAAGTTTCATGTATTGACGTTGTCTGATACAACCTATTTTGTTTTCCATGATTTTATCTCGTCGTGTCTTGGACGAAACCAACAAATTCAAATTGTACGCAAGATTTTATCTAAGCAATTTACTAATTTCCTGAAATAACTCTTTCCGATAACTTTTATTATACAATCGTTTTGCTTGGCTCTTGTTTAAAGTAATATAACCGACAACCACTTTTAACCACTCAATGACTTTGTTATTATGGCTTATATTTTCAACCCATGATTTATATTTAGCCTTACTCGGTAATAATACAATATATAATAAGAGTTAATCCACAAATAACTAAGCCTGAAAAAGTGTTCGGCCCTTGATTTCTTTATTTGTGGAAGGCTTCAGCCGTTCTTCCCCGCATAAAACTTTACTGTAAAGGATAATTTAACACTCTAAATGACAAGGTAATTTCATGACTGTATTCATATACATATTAATTCGCAGTTTACAAAGGCAGCCTACAAAGTCATCAACAAATTAGTACAAGGCCAACATTGAATGTGTCTTGGCACGCATGATACGTCGTAAAACAGAGTTCTTTTTAAAAAGTGACGCAGACTTTGTCAAACCTGTTGATTTACGCCTTGGACCTTTTTTCAATGCATGGTTTTAATAAAATATTTGAAAAAGGGTTCTGGTTTACCGTAACAATAAAGAAATCTTTAATCTCTCTATTATTATTTATTTGTAATACCTAAGACTAGTGATTATCAAACACATTGTTGTTGTTAACAGCTTATTATGGAACCCCTTTGAACACTGTAATCACACAATCGTTGGATGAAATTAAACCATCCAATTACAGAATTTTTCTTCAACAGTCTGACGAAAGTTCTCTAGAGAAGGCTCGTGAATTCATTCATGGTAAAATTATCGCGCTTTTATATGCTGCCGTATACAGTATCTATATTAAGGTAAAATCCGAAAAAGTTTCCCTATTTCATACTACCAGTGTGTCCGTTACACAATTGGAAATCAAATGTGCGGGGGGCTTAAATCCGTGTAACACCATCATCGGATCATATGCCCTGTTGTGTCAGATGAAATGTTAGCGGTAGATCAAAAAATCGAGCGAATCTTATCCAAGTGGGGTTTTGTTCGCCGACAGTCTTTTCGCATTAATCTTCCAATCAAAACTCTTTATCTTTTGACGATCCGTCTTTCAAGCGGTTACTAATGCGCTTTAAGTATCCTCACGAGATCACATCTGAGCATTCATGTTGCAGAGCACGATCCATACATGGCGTAACTATGCAAGTTTATTTTGGCAAACGTGTGGAGTATCATGAAGTATCATCAGGTCTATTTCTATTCTTGAAACTATGAAAAGTTTCCTCTTTACTCTCTTTGAAGCTCGACGAAAAATGCGTCTAAACAATTGGCTCCGGATAGCCGATTAGAATGGGGAGTGTTTATTCTCAGATGATTCTCAACATATTGTTACTATGAAAATAATTATATATGGGTATGTAGTAAAACGTATATCTGATTGGAAGGGGAAAGGGCAAAAGATTTTCTATACGAACCGAATATAAGCGTTGCATTCTCCTACTGTCTGATATCAAAAAAACAAAAAACTAAATTTTTACTCTTTTCATATCCCTCACCTCTTTTTTATCTCCCCCCTCCTCTCCGAATCTTTTTTTAATGTGTTGGAATTTGTTTATGTGGTAACCCGAAACTACCTTTTTCCCTCCCAAAACGATTGCATTGCGCTGTGCGTTTTGCGATGTCATTGGCATTTTCATTCTCGTCGAAACCAACCATATCTCAGTTGCATCAGCAAATTCTACATTATCTATACCGCGATAGAAAGATACTAAATAATGGCCGCTACTTTTCCTGTGAGCCCAGATGCCGAAAAGAAAAGGCCCTGGGCCACAGATTGTGGTAATAATAATTATAATAACAATCGATTTAATTACATGACGAGGAAGGATAGTGGCGATGTTTGGATAATTGGAAGGTTAGTAAAGTTCGTAATGGGGAAAAAAAACTAATTAGAAGTTATTTCAATTATTAACTATGCCTGGCACTGCTAGAGTCGAAAAGGAGATTTATGAAAATTCAAAGAATGACGGTATATCCGACAACGTGTTGGGTGATAATATCATTGATTCGGAAGATGATTATGATACTCGCGATAAAGCAAAGGTAAATCATTTCTTCGTAGATTGTTGTTCATTAGTGGGGGCAGGAATCTGAATATTTTTTTTTTGTTTAGGTTGACCCAGACCACCTGAGACGAACTCCGTTTCAAAAAAAGCTGTATCACTTCTTTGAAGAACCCCAGAGTCTTGCTGCGAGATTTTTCTCGGTTTTTTCTGCTTTGTGCACTATTGGAACCGTGTCTTTAGTCTGTGTTAATTCTCTACCAAAGTATGAGCTGTCTGATCGGCCGTTATTGTGAGTAAAAAAAAAGGCGTATTTAGTGTGTTGTTACTGAATTTGAATTGTCTTTCTCGATAATACAATTTATTGAGACTTGGCCGGGCTTTGCAAGTTTTTGGTTAACAAAGATTCAATATTAATCAATTTGCTCATATGATATCTGTTTTTCAGGTTGCCACTTCGTATTCTCTTCAGTATGATATTTACTATAGAATATTTGGGGAGATTCTTTGCCTCTGTGGATAAAAAAAAGTATTTTTTCGGTAAGTCGCTTGATTCCTTAGCATAAAGCCGACATAGTAACTGGCTAACGTAACAACCGGCTTATTTTTCTGATTGTCGTCTAGGAATAATGAGTATACTCGACTTGATCGCAATTATTCCATTCTTTATTCAAATCGCTTTTACGAGGCAAGAGGTATGTGGACCTACCTAATGAACACATGGTTCTTCTTTATAATACAAGTGACTTTAAATTGACAGCGTTTTTACGCTCGTACTTAATAATTTATGCGCTTATTAATAGTTTCACTTGCATCTATTTAGAGTGGGCTTTACTTTTTAAGAGTTTTGCAGCTTGTCAGGTTCATTCGACTATCCGACTTTATAAGGCATTCGGTGGGATTCAAGGTAAATTTAATTAATATGCTCGCTCAACACCAATTTTCTCGATCATTATTAAAATTACCTTTGTTTTCCCCTTCCACCTAATCTCTATAAGGCTGCCATGAAAGTAGTGCGTCGCTCATCAAACCAAATACTGTTTATGGCATTTTGGTATACCACCATCATTATTCTTTCATCCAGTTTGATGTTTTTGACGGAAAGAGGAGTCTTTGACCCGGAAAACAAAGTATGGCTTAGAAGAGATTCAGATGGCCACTTGGAAGTCAGCCCATTTCAATCTATACTTCATTCATTTTATTGGTCTGTCGTCACAATAACAACGACTGGTTACGGTGATGACATTCCATACACCCTATGGGGAAGAATCGTAACGGGCGTCGCGATAACGTGCGGATTATTGTTTCTTGTCATACCATCCTCGATAATCGGATCGAACCTGAGCGTCGAATGGACGCGTGCCCATCGCCTGGCTAAGCTAAAGGAAACCCGTCAGCTTGCGCAAACGCCAAAAGATCCTGCAAACATCACGTCATGGCAAATAAAGTATCTGCAGAGGCGTAACCGGGAATTGTTGGAAGCGATCGCTGAAGTGCAGGATGTCCTGGCAGATGTGAACCCGCGCAAGTACAGGGAAATACAGATGGAGCACGTTGCTGCTTTGCAGAAAATCGTTGAATTGGAATCTGAGCTTGAAAGGTGGAAGCAGATTGCGTGCAATCATGAGTATCAACAGTCGCAACAGCAGCAGCAACAGCAGTATGGCAATACGGACATTATCGAAAAGACAAAGTTGGATATGCCGAAAGAAGCGGTTAATGAACTGTATAAATCATCAGTGTGCACGTTTCCTGACTATCAATCAAAGAACGAGATGGAGCTATCGATTACCGAAATGACGACAGTGGCGGCAACGACGCCGAAGCCGACACCGACGACAACGACGGACGTCTCTCGCAAACAAAAAAGCAATACGACCACTACCACTACCACCACCACCACTAGCAGCAGCAGCACTAATACGCTTAATCCGTTCAAGATGTTTAGGCGGTCGTCAAAGCGGGACGTGCCAGCCAACGCCGCCGTCGGCTCGTCCATTGATACACACTCGATCGAGCATTCCGTCATCGCTCCCGAATCCGCATACACATACAAAGACGACTATGACCATCCGCAAAGTGTAATGACGGCTCAAGTGACATCCTCAGCTCGACTCGCACCGAACACTCTGCTTCGCTCGGCCACTCTGCCGTGCGGAGAGTGTCCCAAGTATAACGATAAGAACGTGATATCTGCAAAGGAGAGTGGGTTGATGGGTTTGTTTCAGCAAAGACTCGATGCGAGCGCAAGAAAGACAGATGAAGCGAGTGGTGTGACTAGTGAAAGAGACGGGGGTAACGTCACCGCCGATGTTCAACATGAAATGGACAATTTTCTAAACAGGCGCGCCGTCGATGATTGCATTATCAGCGAAGCTGGCAAGAATGAGGGTAATATTAGTAGCGGTGGGGATGGTGACGGTGATGGTAACGGTGAGGCGGGAGGTATTGAAATTGTTGTTGAGCGTAGTAGCGGCGATGGTTGTTAAAGCGCAAGACAGAGGGATCTCGAGGGGTGATGGGTTGTGATTGTATAGTATGTCATCTAATTAATTGTACAGTCCTCTGATAGACTGTATATAATTGTATACGTAGTGCATATGCTATCAGATTAGATGTTACGTATTTAATATATTCCGAAATTCGTCTTAATATTAATAGTAATAATAATAACATTAATAACGACAATGACAATGACAATAATAATAATAGTAAAATAATAAGTGTAGCATTGTGCAGTCAATTTGTATTTGTAAAATTCAAATATAGAATTGTTCCGATGTATATAACTGCGGTAACATATTGAGATGTTTTATTATTGGTGGGCCGGCCGGCCAGTAATAGCAATGATTGCTTAGTTCGTGAAGAGCTATTGCCAAGATTATTATCATCTCGTGATGGAAGGATTTAAAAGTATGATTAATTTCCGCCAATAATGAATAAGCGTAGTGACTATAAAAATAATCGATAAATGACCAATAGTGCACAAGCTAGAATTCATATGATCATATTCCATCATTATTACATAATGGCTGTGTCTATGTAGGTCTCTGGTTAATATAGTTTTTGGCGCGAAAACCGAATGATCTAGACGATGGGAATGCACCAGTATTGTTAAAAACCTAATCTGCTAACAGTTAACGATAAATACGTTAAACCTGATTAAAAGACCAATTGCGTATAGTAAATTATTTTTATACCTAGTGGCATATTTTGCCAAATTACGACTGACAACTTGTAAATGCATTTCATATTATAAATTTACGTCGTCGTTAACGACAGGTTAAAAAATACTGACGTGACGCAATTAACCGTAAGGGTGTAATATACTACTACACAATCAGCATACAACTGGTTAATGCGTGAAAATACAATGTTGTCAATGGCGAAACGCTCACATACTACGACGACGTGTGTCGAATTATTATTATGATCAATTCTCAATCAACTGGCCAACTTTGGCTCAACCCGTCTGCAGTAATCGTTATTTTTCTAATTCCTTGCTGATTAAAACTATATCGATCTGTATACAGGCAGGCTATTCTATTACTTAATATTTCCGACTTTTCTACCGTTTAGCTTCACCTTTGCTTAATTCATCTTTCCCTCCCGATTTACTGAATAATTTTACTGAATTAGTATAGCACTGTGTCTTGTTCACTAACTAAATTTGGCTAGTGGCCCTAACTTTTCGTCGATCACAATAAAAAGCGGAATGTCGAGCTTGGTACAAGTACTATACTTGTATGCATATTTCCTATTTATAGAAACTTTAGCTCTCGACGTATAGCCAGTTCGCTATAGATAGATAACATAACGTTGTGACACAGCATTAGCTACATGATTGTTTCAGTCATCGCAAACTTTCCCTTTTTGCAGACGCTTACTGTGAAATAATAATATTAGCTTTGCATGTATTGTTCGGTATTCTCTCCCATTAGGTCTTTATTCGGTCAATAAAGGTTAATGGGATTGTATAAAGTTCTGGTAGAAAATGAACCAGAATCGTAGCAACACAATCATTTCCTAATTAGTGATAACATACGGCATTTTTCTAACAAAGACGTTTGTTGTCACACCTATTAAGGTAAAACAATCGTCCCAAACTTTGTTCAATGGACAAAGACATTGAACATTGTGTCTAGTCTGCCCCATTGATATATAGCTTATTTAGTATTGTGAATAGTTAGGGAAAATGTTTCATTGTACATTGTTTGAAACCGGCTCTGTAATGTTGGGATCGTCCACCCCTAATCCATTGGCAAAGGGCGGACAGACTTGTAACGAAGCTTATGTCAGCAATTGCATTAATATATACATTACAAATGCCATTAGCAACACATACACAGTGAAATAGTAGTCACTGTTAGAAGAAAATTCCGGTCACAAGTTTTTCAACAAAAACGCTCGACTCAATAAAGAGTAATAACACCTGCCTTCAAACACGAATTTCTCTAACGACAGGCATCCGATAATTAGTCCTAACACAAATCCAAAGCCCCGATTATTCATGTATACAATAACATTAAATGGATGATTATAAATTTGTAATTAGGTTTGTATCACAACGAATTGACGTTGATTGAAGATTATACTTTTGATTACTCCACTAACCATAAGATATATGCATTGTCCCGCATTTGCTGCTCCTTATGGAAAAACAATAAGAACATTTACCAAACCTTTTTTCGTCAGATAGATGACTGGCAAATAAGCTTGACTAATCGGTCTTTTTTTTTTCCCTCTCTCTTTTTCCGTCGCCAAACAGAAAGAAGGGAAAAAAGGGTTTAAAAGTAAACAATGGGAAAATCGGACAAGTAGAGATTGAGAATTGTGAACAATTCCGAAACAAAATTTCCGGTTCTGTAACAAGACAATGCTTTATCACACCATGCATTACACAGCAGACTGATGAAATCGATAGGAAGTAAATGGATGCTATTATGGTAATTCTTCAGGCTGTGCGGATTTTTGCGAGTACAGCTGTATTAGTTTACATAAAAGCATTTATGTGTTTATAGGGGTTCACAGCTTCTCAAACACTTTTTTTTTTCCCATTTGTAATCCATTTTCCTAAATTCGCAACAGTGAGTGTCCCCCGCCCCATATGGTAAATGGCTTTTATTCGGATTACTCTGTTTCTTTTGACAATACCATTATTTCTCTATTGATTCAAGGGGTGCGGGGAGTGTGCATTCGATTATACGTTCTCAAAGAGTGCGGATGATTTACAGGCGGCAGATCTTTGCACATTGACGGCGGTATGCAAAAAGAATGTAACCATATAACTACTGATCGTTGACCCGTTGAACATCTAGAGCGGGCGGCCTCAAGCGATCATAAGTTTGTTGGTAAACCTTTTATCCGTTTCTCGTATTCTGTTGTAATAACTGTTATAATCTCAACTATTTATATATGTTTGATGTATGATAACCCGCCTGACCTGACTGACAATTAAGCTTACATATATGCATGCTTGTCTCAATCAAAAAGTACAGATAAATGAGAACTATAAACAAACATGCAAATCTGGCTAACATAAAGCTCCGACTCATTTTCCATTATCGCCAGACAAAACTGCAAATATGCCAAGTTGTATCTGCATTAGCATTCTTTCAAATTCTTTGATTCCGTACGTTATTTGTGTAACTAATCATGTGATTTAATTTTCCCATAGTGAAGGGTGAGTCGGGGAAAATAATTAGCAAATGTATGGGGAAACGCAAGGACTTGGGGACGGGGGGCCAGTAAAAAAAATTTTTTCGTCATACGGTCTAAACCAAATATATTAGTATATGGTATAACAAGATGATTTGCAACAAATACTAATAAGCATACAAATTGAAAGCTTGCGAAAATCTGCCGACTTGAATGTATATAAAAGGTGAGGGTTATGCATCATATGAGCTTTGTCAAACAAGTATTTTGTGATTGCAATATAATTGTAGATTTTCTGTCGTGTCACGTTGGTCGGGTCCTGATAGCTGTCGCTTTTTTTTTTGGGCGTTTTGTGGATTATATGTAGGTGTCTCGTGTTATTGTAACACACGGTGAAACAAGTATAACGATTAAACAATTAAACGATATTCTACAAACTCTCAACCCTTTTTTCTTGTTTCTTCCTCTTCTCCTTCTTCCGTTCCTCCTCTTTTTCTTCTTTCCCCTTCCAACTTCACTCCTTTTCCCCGCTAGTCTATTTTATTCCCACCCACCATATGCTTCAGAACAAGGTCCATAAAAAGACATTTGATAAAAAAGCATGGCTCGAGAAGCGTATTAAAGAAGGATTATTCAGAGCATACTCGGAAGGTGACATAATAGACTGTATAGTGCTTGGCCATGACAGATATGGTATCATATATAAAGGAAGATTGAAACATACCGGAACGCATGTCACCGTAAAGACTCTGCTGCTATGTCAAAATGGTCCAAAAGACGAAATGTACAAGAATCTCATCAAGGAGGTTTGTTTTCTCCCCCCCTTTTACAACCTACTCTTTCACTTGGTCGGGATTTCGAATACTAAAACGTAATCTACATGTGTTGTAGTTGAAAATTTACAAGAAAGCGGATGACCATCCAAACATTATTCGATTCTTGGGTATACGCCGAGGTAATCATCAATCGGTGTGTCGATTTCATGTTTGTTGGATCGACGGTAAATGCTTAATAAAAACTTATTTATTAATTCACCTAATTATTATTTATTAACGTCCCACAGATGTATCTACTTATTGTCACATGGTTTTTGAACACGCCGAAGGTGGTACCTTGTACGAATATTTGGTGCGATGCTTTGATAACTTAACATGGAAAGACAAATACAAATTGGGATTGGATGTTGCCAATGGATTGAGATATCTGCATAGACTTGACATCAAGCACAAGGGTTTGGTATTGTATTATATTTGTTACATTTTTAATTGTTTGGTGCCAGTTTTTAGATTTCTCTCTAACACGCAGATTGTTTTCTTAATAAATACTAGTGCTCTAATAATATTGTTGTCCATAATGGCGTTGCAAAGATAACTGACATTGGTCTATCTGATATATTTATACAAATTCTATCAACATCATTCCAAACAAGTGAGAGTAAAGCTTATGTAGATCCTGCATTCCTTAAGAATGAGTCATACAAGTGTGGAAAAAAATCAGACATCTTCAGTCTTGGAGTGATACTATGGCAAATTTCTAGTGCCCAACTCCCGTGTGAGGGCCATGTTGAAATAAGTAAAATTACTCAATATAGATCGAATGGCCAACGAGATGCTGCCTTTCCTGGAACCCCTGAACATTATGTCAAACTGTATTCAGAATGTTGGGATGAAGATCCTGATAAGCGGCCTCATTGTGAAGAAGTTTATAGACAATTAGACTCGTTTATTACCCAATTCGATTCACAAATGTTAGATGGTCAGTCTCAATATTTATGTATTGACAAGTATCATGAAGTGTTGGCTGATCTTGATGAGGAACTGATAAAATCGAACAATGTACATGCACTGATTTTAAGAGGAGACATTTATTGTCAACTTCAACTGTACCCATGGGCACTAAAAGATCTCAATGCTTCATTGGAAATTAGTCCAAATAATTCATGGGCATTGACATTAAGGGGAACTATTCATCTCAGACTACAGCAATATGAAAATTCATTGGACGATTTAACAAAATCGTTAGAGACCGAACCTAATAATGCACATGCTTTGCGATTAAGAGGCGAGACTAATCTTAGGTTGAAACACTATAAAAGTGCACTGAGTGATCTTGACAATGCATTAGCGATCGAACCATACAATGCGTGGGCCTTGATATTAAGAGGAAACGTGTATCTTTTGCTTGACAAATACAACGAGGCGTTGGCCGATCTTGACAAATCACTAGAGATTGAGCCAAACAACGACTGTGCGTTCATCGTAAAGGGAAACGTTTACCTCAAGCTACGAGAGTACGGCAAAGCGCTAGATAATCTCAACAGGTCACTAGACGTTACAGAAAACAATGCTCTCGCATTGAGACTGAGAGGCGAAGTATATCTCATGCGCAATGAATATGACGACGCATTAACGGATCTCGACAAGTCGCTAGAAATCCGACCAAACGAAGCGCTAACGCTGCGAGTACGAGGAAACCTTTACCACCGACTCAACAAGTTTGACAAGGCGTTAGAAGATCTCGACCGATGTTTGGAAATCGAACCCGAAGACGCGCTGGCGCTGAGTCTGCGCGGTGACGTTTACCGCATGCTCGGACAGTACGACAAGGCGCTGAAAAATCTCAACAAGTCGTTAGAGATTGAGCCCAACGATTCGCAGGCTTTGGGATTACGCGGACACATTTACCTGATGATGTCTCAGCACAGGAATGCGCTGAGAGATCTCGACAAGGCGTTGGAGATTAACCCGCAGAACGCAACGGCGTTGAGGTCGAGAGGAGAAGTCCATCGCATACTTCATCATTACATTAGCGCGCTGAAAGATTTCAACAAGTCGTTGGAAACCGAACCGGATAATGCGTATGCCTTGAGGTTAAGAGGAAAAGGGTACCTCATGATCAATCAGTACGATGTCGCATTACAGGATATCAACAAGTCGTTGGATCTCGAACCGGCCAATCCTCATTCGTTGAGCATAAGAGGAAACATTCGTCTCAGGCTCGGCCAGTATGACGAAGCGTTGGTCGATCTTGACAAGGCGTTGGAGATTGATCCGAACGATTCGTTCACGCTGAGTCTAAGGGGAAATGTTTATCTAAGGCTCACTCAATACACTGATGCTTTGAACGATCTTAACCGGTCTTTGGATATCGATGAAAATAACGCTTTTGCATTAAGGATAAGAGGAGAAGTTTATCAAATACTTAATAAACCACCACATAGTAATAGGAAAAATTTACTGTAAAAAAAAAGTGAGACGGGGGAATAACGAGTGGTTTTTTGTATTATACGCAAGTTTGATAATTTTAGTTGTACACAACTCTTTTGTAAACTTTTTTTTCTGTATTAAATTTCTTTCAATAAATTATTATAAAAATTTAAATATCAGCTTTTGTGCGCTTGCAAAGGAGAAAGCTGTTGAGCTCATCCGTTAACGTAAATATGCTTATTGCGATATCGATATACTGTACAAGTACGTTTTAAGGGTGATAAACCTAAAACGTAAATTTGTACTAGAGTTTTTGTGTACAAACTTGTCGTCGGGCACAGATAAAGTGTAATAATATAATCTCTTCAACATTGCGTTATAGAAACTTGGAACGACTACACACGTGTAATACTGTAATACCGCACGCTTAATACTGTATAAAGACTTGATTGGTATATAAGAGTATACATAAATTTACGTCGAATGAGTAAATCAGACTCGGAAAATGAGACAAGTGTCGGGGCAAAATGGCACGCAAGGGCGGTAATGATAAAGTGTTAGATTGTAAGCATGTAAAGTTTTAGTACTAGAAAATCTATTGCATATTTTTAAGCAATTGAAGTAGTTGTTCGATTACAGATAATGCTATACTTTACTAGACCGTCTTCTCGCGTCGTAATAAAACGTTTTACTTTATTGTAAGACCAAGCCGAAGATGCTGAATATTATTTTTAAATCCAGAACGAACACCCACGTCAAGCAGAGGCTGACAAAGCTCGCCATTAGTCTTCACTTTCGAGACTGAAACTTAGAAGTTGGTGTCAAAGTTATGATTACATAATGGATGTCCGTCAGAATTTATACTATAACACGACACGTTGCAGCAGTTCTTGTATGCTGCAAGGTATAAATTACGTATACATTATCTATAGCCAGTCTTAATGCCTTTCGTCGGTTAGCAATTGCCAAAACTGTACGGCAGACGTTAGTTATCGAGTTGATTAAAAATTTTGCCCACATGAACACATTAATATTATGTGTATATAATTAAAATTTGGATTTACCAAATTACTTAATAATCAGCGTGCAGCAGGAATACTCTCATTTTATGGAAATGCAAATTGTAATTTGGTAGAATAGTAATGTTAACATAGCACAGTAATTCTCATTTATATATTTTTTTACGACATGGGGACAAAGTTTTAGTGGCAAAAATTGCTAACTTTAACACTAAATACATTTTTGTTATCGTCTCTTGGTGCACGAAGTTTCTCATTTACATTTTTTTGCTTTTTACATGTCTTTCAGTACTTTAATTTTAAAATGCCAGTTTGCACTTTGCTTTAATTTTTAACTACATAGTAATAGTAATAAGACTTGTTTATTTATTTACATTACATACAGTATATAGCCAATCTGATAAGTAAACCATGTAATAAAATTTTCTTCGCAGCCGAACAAAACCCAGAATTACATTGCATTTCTTATAGTATAATATACTAGTACTTGTCATCAGTTTTCTTCGCGAGGCGGCTGCGTCCCTCACCGTGACAATAGGACTCTGTAGTGTCGACTTAGCCAACATTATTTAAATTATTCATTTTAGCGAATAATTTTTTTTTAGACGAATGTGTTACTATTACTAGACGAATAATTATGTTGACAATTATGATCCGTGTTTCGTAATACACTTGTTGCAGACTTACATTGGGTTCACATCTCGAATATATTTAAGGCAAGGGATATATTCTTCATCGGACTTTATATATAAGAATTACAACGTTTTAATTTAATCGCTACTATTAATGGTTTATTAATTTTATTAATATATTTAATAATAAATCTAGTTCATTTAGCCGACAATTATTCCTAATAATATTTCGGCACTAAGATAATTTCAGCAGGAATTGTCGGAAATAATTGTCGGTGAAGTTATTGTCGGGGAAATGGACAGCTTCCTTTACTAATAACATTGCCGTTTTATCATATGATCGAAGACGAATAATATATCACCGAAGGTCAGGTACAACGTATGTGCCTAAAATGCTAATGTAATGGACGAAGAAATGCCGTTCTCACATAAAATATTAATATTCGTTATCTATTATATCGTAAATATTATTTTATTAATAAAAGTTATTTTCTGCCGTCACATTAATATTTCTCTTCCCACTGTAATACTTCTGTTGGATTTTCATCAAGAGCATCCATGCATTTCGCTTCATGTCTCTATGGCTCCTAACATTTTGGCATAGGTTCCCATTCATTAACAAAATAATATTTTAACTTAAACAAAATGACGATAAATTTACAATAGCTTCGAAACGAATAATAAGTTTAATAACTTGATCGAAAGAGTATCAACCTTCAAACGGCTCTCGGTGTTATACATCGTCTATTCTTTTTGGTACTAAACATAAGTCTTATAATCGCAGTCTTACTAAGCTGAACACTTCTCATGCTTCCCTTGTTAGTCGTCAAGAGATTACGCCAACACAACTTGCTTATTAATCGACGAGAGCTTACATCAAAATGTCTATTCAGAGTATAATAACAATAATAACCGACACTTCTCATGCCCAGCTTATTAGTCGACAAGAAATTATGTCGAAGGCAACTTGCTTATTAGTCACTAGATTTATTCTTACATCAAAGTATCGGTATTGAAAATAAAGAACAAAGACAATGATAACAATAATACGATCGAAAATAATTCCAATAATTCCAACAATAAATAACAAATATAATATTTTATTACAAGAGATAAAGCCACCCCCAGGGAAGTAGTTCCGCTTTCAGTTTTACCCTTCAACAGTAACCAACTTACTTTTTCCGCCTGGAGAAAGAGTTGTTTATACAATGAATTTCATACCACGAGTAAAAGGTAAAACTCTATACGGTGGCGCCACTTCTGTATTCCATTCCCTCTCAGACGTGTTCGAAATTATACAAATGAGTCATAAAATACATGCGTTTCACCAAATTGTCACCCGATCCAAAATACCCGTGGGTGGAATGTTTGACCAATCAAGCAATTCCGCAGTAAACACTGACTGTCTAACACATTTTCCGCCAAAATCAAGTGTGACAAAAATCCCGTCACAGGCGACACATAATTATTATTTCGTGACAATTTTCAGTCACAGCGTAAACGCTATAATTAACTAAGAGTATTATACGTCCTTAGAAAAAATTACACCATTATTTCATGATTCAAATTTTCCGTCACGGTAAAAAGATACATAAACTCAAATTCCATTATCAAAATAGTATGTTTTGAGATATTTAAATGCTTGATTGCTGAAATATTAGATAAATCTTTATTTAATAAATATTAAATAAACGGCTTTGAATCCGAATACCCTTTTTCGTTTATTGTTAAAATATTAATAAGCCGGATATACTAATACCTATAAGAACGGCTCACATAAAAGTTGTAAAATTTCGGTGTAAACGGCTCAAAATAATGTTGGTTACTTTCTCTCGCAAAGTGCAAATTTGTATTAGCTGTAACTATTCCTTCAATTTAGTAAACCTAGCTTTTTCCACTCAACATCACCATCATTGACTGTGGGCGCTCTCACCAATTCATCGAGCCTACAAATTAAAATATAACTCTGTTCATTTATTATGTCAAGCCTACCCGACGAAGCCGGACAGGCCCAATTTAAATTTCTAGTTAAACAGAATAAAAACATAAGTAAAAAACCAACTTAAGAAAAACGAAACTGAACTAGAAGAAATTTCTTCCGGCAATCGAATTTGGAAATCAGTTTATCTTGACTAGACAGTGCTTAGCAGTTGTATTACGAAAACAGTAATACAGTCGACCCTCTCTAATATCAACCTCACGGGACCGGTCAATTTCGTTGACATATTCGGGGTTGGATATCATAGAGGAGATGACGTCATCTGTAATATTATATACGATACCTTCTTTCTTTCTTTCTTCATATTAATAGATTCAATCATTTATTATTATATAATGCAATGGCACATAAAATGACTACGAAAAATATGTAAACTGTCATGTCTTATGTTTAATTTTGTCCACTTTTGGTAATATACTTTAGTACACAATAGGTCGTAAATCATGAACAAAAACAAGAAATATTATTAAAAATAAGCAACACAGAATTAATAGACGAAAGACGCAAAGCAGGAGAAATAGAATAGACTGCTTACATAATAAGGACGGCATATGATATAATATTAGCGTAGTAAATACGCAATATTGTAGACCAGAATTTAAATTTTAAATACTAATTTATATTGATGTTGATATCAGTGAGGCACATTTATTTAGGAATAAAATCTGATATGCGTTGATAGGGATATCAACGGGAATGATATCAAAAATTGATATATGCGGGAGAATTCAAATACGGGGAAATTTGTTCTGAAATTATTGTTGCTAATAGAGAGAGGTGGACATTAACGGGGTGGATATTAGAGAGGCTCGACTGTAATCAAAAATTACACTCGCCAATCACACAAAGTTTATTCACATCCATCACGCCATCAGATGGCTAGATATAGATGGTATTACTCTTTCTTGCTATATTAATATATTGTATTGTATATTGCCAAATTTATATTTGCAATTTCCAAATTCGATTGGCTTGATGAACTGGTGAGAGTGCACTCTGTTACTTTGTTAATACGTTAATTTTATAGTATTTGTCAATTTTGTATACTAATATTAATATAATACAGAAATTTTCTTTTTTACTCTCCCATTATTGATGAGTACATTTTATGTTGACTGACACCACAGTAATATTGATTATACAATATATTAATATCTAGGGCTCAGAATCACTTACACATATAGAATATGATATATGAAGGATGAGTGTAACTGTATTTTTGAAACTGATAGTAGTATTTGTTGCATTGATAATGAATAAAACATCCATTTAAGATTAAGGCTAATGATAAATAAAATTAGATTCTAGTACCTTTCCCAAAGTTGTTGCTCCTGCATCTCCAATTTTATTATTCCATAGATTCAAAAAGTCAGAGATAAATTTGATTCTAGACTTTTACCATTCTTATTCTGTTGTTCTGCACTCCAATCTAATTAGAGATGGCTTTGATTTTAGTACTAGAGCCTTTGTTATTGTCATACCTAAGAACCAAAGAAGTCAGAGATGAATTTGATTCTAGAGCCTTTGCCAATGCTGTTGCTCCTGCATCTCCAATCTGATTAAACTGAAGATACAAAAAAGTCAGAGATGAATTTGATTCTAGAGCCTTCACCAATGCTGTTGCTCCTGCATCTCCAATCTGATTATCATAAAGATTCAAAGAAAACAGAGATGAATTTGATTCTAGAGCCTTAGCCAATGCTGTTGCTCCTGCATCTCTAATCTGATTAACACCAAGATTCAAAGAAGTCAGAGATGAATTTGATTCTAAAGCCTTTGCCAATGCTGTTGCTCCTGCATACCCAATATTATTTCCAAAAAGATTCAAAGAAGATAGAGATGAATTTAATTCTAGAGCCTTTGCCAATACTATTGCTCCTGCATCTCCAATCTGATTATCATCAAGATTCAAAGAAAACAGAGATGAGTTTGATTCTAGAACCTTTGCTAGTACTGTTGCTCCTGCATCTCCAATACTATTTTCAGAAAGAACCAAAAAAGTCAGAGATGAATTTGATTCTAGAGCCTTTGTCAATGCTGTTGCTCCTGCATCTCCAATCTTATTATAATCAAGATCCAAAGACATCAGAGATGAATTTGATTCTAGAGCCTTTGCCAATGCTGTTGCTCCTGCATCTCCAATCTGATTAGAACCAAGATCCAAAGAAGACAGAGATGAATTTGACTCTAGAGCCTTTGCTAGTACTGTTGCTCCTGCATGTCCAATCTGATTATACCTAAGATTCAAAGAAGATAGAGATGAATTTAATTCTAGAGCCTTTACCAATGCTGTTGCTCCTGCATCTCTAATCTGATTAGAATCAAGATTCAAAGAAAACAGAGATGAATTTGATTCTAGAGCCTTTGCCAATGCTGTTGCTCCTGCATCTCCAATATTATTTTCAAAAAGACTCAAAGAAGTCAGAAATGAATTTGATTCTAGAGCCTTTGCCAATGCTGTTGCTCCTGCATCTCCAATTTGATTATTCCATAGATTCAAAGAAGTCAGAGATGAATTTGATTCTAGAGCCTTAGCCAATGCTGTTGCTCCTGCATGTCCAATCCGATTATTATAAAGGTTCAAAGACATCAGAGATGAATTTGATTCTAGAGCCTTTGCCAATGCTGTTGCTCTTGCATCTCCAATATTGTTATAAGACATTATCAAAGAGTTTACAGAAGGGTTTGCCTTTAAAATATCTATCAGTGTTGTTTCTCCTGCATCTACTAGCATAGAAGAAAGATTTAATGTTCTACCTGGTAAATGATGATCTCTATCATCAGATAACAATTGTAATTGTTTGTGTATTTCTTTGCAAGATGGTCGTTCTTCAGCATTCTCACTCCAACATGTTGAATATAGCTGAACATATGCATCTGGTGTTTCTGGAAGAGGGGAATCTCGATAGCCTTGTCTTCTACATTCTGCCACACTGATCCATTTTTCACAAGAAATTTTTCCACTAGAAATCTCCCAAAACAACACTCCAAGGCTAAAAATGTCAGATTTCTTTCCACGTTTATATGGTTGATTTCTAAATGATAAGGGGTCTCTGTATGCTGCAGTGCCTTCACCTAATGATGAGGACATCATCTGTCCAGATAGACCAAAATCAGTGATTTTTGCAATACCTGATTTCATAAGAATATTGAAAGCTGACTGGTAGGAGGATAGATAATAATTAGTCTGACAATCATTAATATAATCATGAGCACAATAAAGTGAAATCACAATTTACCAAATCTTTGTGGATAATATCAAGTTCATGCATGTATCTCAATCCGTTAGTAATATCCAGACTCAGTTTGTACTTGTCCTCCCATGTTAAACTACGAAAATGTCGTGCTAAGTGGGTGCGTAAAGTCCCGCCATTCGCAAACTCGAAAATCATATGATAACCGTCATCTTCGTCTTTAGATCAAAAAATACATGCATGGAATTAATAATATGCGTTTAAATTTCCAAGTTCTGAAGCCAGAGCGCGGCAAGGCATTACAAAAACATGAGTATACTTACAGACACCTAAAAATCGAATAATATTCGGATGACCGCTCACTTTCTTGTGATTTTTCAACTAGTATATAATCCATGCAAACTATTAGCTATCAAATCGATAACAACGAAAAAACGTACAATACTAAGCAAGTAAAATAACAGATAATAATAACTTACCTCTTTGCAAAATTTCTTGTACAGTTTTTCCTCGCAATCACCCGGACGCCGAACCAAAGTTTTCACCGCAACAGGCACTCCAGTGTGCTTCACTATCGCTTTAAATACTGCTCCATATGAACCAGTAGCGATAGGTATACGTCCCAATTTAATATCGCTTTCTGAGTAACAATGAATAGAACCTTCTTTAATACTTCTCTCTATCCATTCTTTATTATATACAACGTTAGGTTCGTCCTGCTGGCGACTGATCACTTGAGATTGCGTAGATTGTTCATCAGTTTCCATCTGGGAAGAAGACTGATCTGGAAACCGGTTTCCCGATTGATTAAAGTTGGTTTGTAGTTGAGAAACTTGGTGGATGCTTCCTTGTGACTGAGATGGACGGGAAATAATTTCTGTCGGCGGATAGACCTAATGTTATAACAGTATGAAAAGCCGTGATCTTGATACAATATCGTACAGTAAACTGAAATTTACAAACCTGTGTTTGGACATACTCCGATGACTCGGCCGGAACAGTTCCTCGAAACGGGTTTTGTGGATCTAATCGATGGTCAGATCGCATCGTCGGCGTAAACAATTCGTTTGCACGCTGTCTCGAATACGGATACTGCGACAACCACTGTTGTTGACGTTGGTGCCGATGCGTAAGCAAGCTTTGCCGAGTATACGGAGAATCGTTCTGTTGCCCAATAGAATTTGTAAGTAGATGTTCATGCACGATCAAATTGGAATCGTCTATATAAGGCTGCGATTGCTGCTGGTTTGTCAATTGTGAAATAGGATATGTTGGCAGACCACCGAAGGTAAACATATCAGTAGGTAGTTGTCCAGTTTGTAATTCGGTTTGCGAGTCAGTCAGAAAATCTTGATATAGAGTTGAGCCATCAATGTATTCCGGCTGCATTGATTGATAAGCAGGATATGTCAAAGCGTAGTGTTGTTGCTGCTGCTGCTGCTGTTGTTGTTGTTGATGCTGCTGTTGTTGCTGTTGTTGCTGTTGTTGCGCCGATTCCTCTTGTTGTTGGTGATTCCATAGCTGGCCCTGCCAAGTGTGAAAAGGTTGTTGCGACGACATCGTTTGTATGAGTCGCACACACGAACCAATAATTAGGGTTTGATCGACTTGTAGCACACATACATGCAATGCAAAATGGCAGTGTTCATTTAATATGAAACGAACATTATGAAAGCATTTGGAGAAAATTCAATGTTGAGTGGTATGTATGTTGTATGTAATTTGCATCACTATGTGAATTTCGGATTTACATGTGTGTTATTTGTGGCAAATGTCCCCAAACGTAATTTATATATGTGATTTGTGCCAACCGCAACTAATGTTAATGTATAGTATTAGCAATATATTTTATTGTACTTAATTTCATATCAAGCGCTAATTAGTTTCAGTAAAAAAAAATAAATTTATTACGATTTAAACTTTCGCTTGCTATATTAGTAACATACAATACTGTTTATTAAACGAAGAGCCGAATCTTTTTTTTTTCCGAAAAACTTCTCTGACTAATGTTAAGTATAATCATAAAAAAAAATTTTTTTTTTGATAACAAGTTTGTTAGATTTTTAGAAAGATTTTCTAGAAGACCAATAAACTGAAACGCAAGTTGGAATTTACAACATTTTGTAAAAAATAAATTACATCTACATTTCCTACGCATACATTTCATTATGTCAATCTAGTCATGCGACGGCTTGCTTGACGTTTTGCCATCTTAGTGTATAGAAGCAAATGTCTTCAATCATAAGCATGGAAGCATTTGTGGAAATTTTATCATATATCGAAATAAACCGGGGGGTCATTTTCAAAGTTTAGCCTGTCAAACTGCAATTTGCGCGTTGTTAAAAAATGGCATGCAATCTAATTATTGCAAATAGTTATTCATACAAAATCATCGTACAATTGGCTTTATGGCTAAGCGTAGTGCTAAAACCTGTAAACAATGATTTCAAAGCAATTAACCATCGATTAGATCAAAATAAACTATGCTTACAGTCTAATGCAATGCTAAAACTTGTACCAATAACACTGAAAGAAGTAGCGAGATGCAAAGTGTCGTATCTGGTAGAGACTATTGTACGCGTAGAGGTTTCGTATATATAGTAGATGCAGTTATAGAAAAACAAAACAGATTCATTATTACAAACTAGTTTAAGTTGTCAAATTTTATGTACAGCACAAATAAAAGTTAAACTCCTATTCAACGATTAACTGATTCAATTTTATCATTTAATTGGCAACAGTCAATGGCGGCCTACAAATATAGTAAGATTTTAGCTAGTATAATGCAGCAGAAAAGCGTTTGTTTTTACTTCAATTCAATTGAGGAGTTGAATAGAGACAAAGATTGTTTATAAAAAAGTTGGGTTTTCCGCGAACAACTTTTATAAAAATTATCGGTTATCCGTAGTATAAATTACGTTTATCTTAATATTAACCTGCGTGGCGGTCACAATCTATAGCTCAGAAGACAATGTTTAATGTCTCCACAACGCATTCTTCCATTTTCATGACACAATAGATAATTGTAGACAATGTTGATTCTATTGCATTACATATAACTACTAAATCAGGGGGTAGGCTAAACACGTATTCTTCCTACCCTTCCATTATGATCATAAATGTTTGTATCGTATCAAAGTGCTTCTTACTATAACAGTTCTAATGTCTCATTACCGACGTAAACGAATGTATAAACAGCATGTAAGCATGATCGTAACTCAATCACCGACGCTCAAACATATGTCTAACTGCATGTTTTATGTGTTGAAACTGTAAAGCTGTTTAAAATTGACGCGTAACTTCGTGTTTCGAAACAAGCGAGTTTCAATTACAGGATGATATAAATTGAATAGCTAATTCTACGTTCTCGTAACGGGAAATTTTCACATACAGCACAGTAATTGGCAGCCGATAAAAATAAACTTATTTCATAAATTTATTATCATATTTGATTTCGTTTCAATGGATACCAATGATCATATTAATTCTACTGAAAAAGCGTATGCACTGTTTAGTGTGAATGAACACTTCCTATTGAAGAATTTGAAAAGAGTTAGTGGTCGTTAGTAACAAACATATGTATGGTGCGCCAGAGGCAGCAAAAGAGTGTATTAAAATACAGTTGTTTCTGTATTTTTATACACTTTTTTCTGTATTTTAATACACTTTTTAAATGACACTTTCTGAAAAACGCGGAATACCGTTTATGGTAATAAACTACACTTTTTTACCGGAATGTTGGTTCACAAAAGTGTATTTAAATACACTTTTAATTACTAATATGTGGTAATAGATAAATCATATTGTCATGTTCGCTATCGATAATAACAGTATAAAACGTATTATATTATGTTTTCTACGAGACAAACAGGAACGCAATCATGGGTATGGTGCGCCGGATCCATTATTAGTGTTGGTAATTTTATTTATACAAGAAACGGTATAACGAGGACGGTGAACAGGTAGAAAAACGAAAAAGTGAGAATTGAAATAGTGAGCGATTGAAAGAGTGCAAGTAATTACAAGAGGAGTGAATGAGAGCGGGAGGGTGAGTTTGAAAAAAATTAGGAGTGATCGAAAGAAAGAGGGGAGATCAAAAGCGCAATAGCTAGAGAAAAGAATAATTAAACAAAAGTGTGAGCAATGGGAAGAGAATTGAACAGTGAAGGGAAAGTGATTCGGAGAGTGGTTGGGAGAATGATTGTGAGAATGATTGTGAGCATGGTTGGGAGAGTGTTGGGAAGGTGATTCCGTAATACATACATATGTGGGTAAGCGAGATGGAATGTCTGAGACTATTCTATTAGCAGGCTACTAAAGTTTCTCTTATATGCTTTGAAGTACAACTTACTACAAATGCAACAGCTACAAAAAATTTATGTAAGTACAAGTTGTAGTCCTAATTTCGTAGACGAGGGTTAGGGTTAGGGTAGGTTGCAAGAGCGCTCAAAAATGGATTCTTTTACAAGTTGTATTTTGAAACTTAACATATTTGCTGGATATTGCTATTGCATGTGACTAAATATGATTATGTATTGTTTTTAGTTGTAGCTATTTATATTACTATTAGTGATTGATTATGAAAATTGATTTAGCGGTGCTGCAAATAAACTCAACATCAACTCGGACATTGATAGAAGAATTTCGCAAATGCGCCAGAAACAATGTACAACTTTGTCAGCATTTCTTCTTTTTCGGAAAATGGCAATACGCTAATATAGACGAGGCGGACTCTGAAGAAACCAATTACAATAACAATTGTCACAGAACAACAAAGTTATACCAAACTTAGACATGTAACTAGAAAGAGTCATCAGAACAAATTAGATTTTACAATAATATATTATAATTTGCAAAAAATGTTGTTGCTTTTTTTCTTATACATCATTGCTAGATTTCATAGTATTTTTAAGAACCTCCTTATTAACGTAAAATAAAATATTATTATTAATTTAGAAAAGCTATATTTCTATGAAAAATGAATCATACATTGTCTACTGAAAATGATATTAACATTATGCAACAAGATATTGATTATCATTAGTTGCACAATTGTCTGACTTCAAGTCATAGTAATAGTCATTTTTCTTCCGCTCCATTCTTTCCGTTACACACAATGCACTCGTATATCTTTTTCAGATTCGCTAGGCCATTTTTATTTGCGCCACAGCTCCCATGTTACGCATAAGTATAAAAATTTTAATACCCTCTATGTTACATATTCTATTGTCCGATTTTCACTTTTTTCTTATGTCAGCCTCTCTACATTACACACGTACAAATAAGCTACTCTTTCAATGTTCCAGACAATGTTAAAAGGTCGGCAGTTTTCCATAAGACAAATCGGAACGTAACAGCGCAAATACAAACAGAATTTAAAAATTAAATTAGCAAGTTAATATTAATTATTTGGCACGTTCTAACTATCACTGCAAAAGGTTGGTTATTTATTCTTAAACAGATCAATTCTGTTATTTAATTTCAAAATTGCTTAGAACAATTACTTTTATCTTTTTTTTTTGTACTATTGTTTATGATGACATATAAAATATAAAAAATTACTCCAATTAATCACAGAACATTATTATTTGTGCACTACCGCTGGGCTTTAATCTTCAAATTAACGAATGATACAACTGCATATGTACTACGCCTAAAAGACATTGTCAAATTACACTCAACCGGACACGCGTCAAGATACGCCAATTAACTACAGTATACTTCTATTTACTTTACCTCAAAATTATATACAGTAATTACTCTCAACTCAAAAATTAATTCACTAAAAAATTTTAATACACCACGTTAATTTCTTAAATGGGAAAATGTCAGTAAAAGCATAATAACATTAGTAAAAAAATTATGGCAATTATTTAGATAATGATTGGCTGTAATAACAAATTGTATGACCATATTAATTGTCAAACATATAAATGAAATCCAATAATTATATCAACTGTCAAGTACTAAAAAAATAATCAAACAATTCATGTTATGCCATTTTGAAAATTTATTTTAAATTACTTTTGCAAACCATCTTCAATAATGCACAAACTAGCAAATCTTTATGTACTATACCATAACATTGAATCTATAAACCCAGAAATAATAAGCTGAAAAATCGACTCTAACTATATAAATAACAAGTTATCTCCACTCTATTATTTATACTTTAATTTTGCTTCCAAAACTACCTAAAATAATAATAATAAACTGATTCAATTCTCTTAAGATTATTTTTCGCCTCTTCATAACCTTGTTCAGCAGCTCTCCAGTACAGATTAGCTGCAGTGTGAACATTTTTTTCCACACCAATCCCCTGTTCATAGTAAAAACCAAGGTTATTCTGTGCCCCAGCATGGCCTTGTCCAGCTGCCTTCTGATACAAC